TTTTGATGTGGTATAAACCTGAGAATACAGAATTCTTTGGGAGAAAGTTTAGAGGGATAGAAACACCAACTTCAAGTGTGACATCTTAGATGGAGGATATGTAAAGAACCAAGAGCTTCATATTTTTGTTTAATAAAACTTTCTGTGATTTTGTAGCAACACTTTTTGATTTACTCTTGTATAGCAATATCTGTAGACTGCTAGTTGGACTAATATTTGGAATCTGCTCTTGATAAATGAACATGAATTGTCTTCCCAAAGGATCATTTTTCAAGCCTTCAGAGAAGTATTATATTATTGTACTTACCTTGTAAATGAAGAGTAAGTTTATAGACGTCATTTCCAGCATTGGTAATGAAAATAGAACTAGACACACAAGAACTGTCGCTCACTTGTTCTACTCCAAAAGGATCTATAATTTTTGTAATAATTGAAGACAAAAATCCTTTACGATTCTCATGTTGCAATACCTTTTTTATGTAAGCTGCTCCAGTTTTCCTAAAAAGAAATCAACAAACATTAAGTAATGTGAATTAACTATCAATTTAAATGAGCACACATAAACAGATAATTTCCCAACAAAATTTACCTCAAATGGCTAGCAAATGAACTTTTGGTAAATAATTATTTAATCTCACTAATAATCAGTGAAAAGCCAATTATGATAATGGGATACCATTTTATTACCTTTCAATTTAGCAAAGATTTTTAAATGGCTGGGTTTAGCAGTGATGCGAAGTCAGTGGATATATGTCATTCACCCACTGCTGATGGCATGTGCCTGGGCACAAGCTTCCTAGAAAACAATTTGATATTATACATGAAGAGCTCTAACATTTTTTCCCTTCTGATTTCTGAAGTCCACTAGTAGAGCTCTATCCTGAGGAAGTAACTTGAAACAATGTGGGGAAATTTTTTTCTACACCAAGACGTTCATCACAGCATTATGGTAAATGTTAGAAATAAGATATATACAACAATAAGAATGTTAAATAACTAATACATGATATATGGTATGTAGATAAAAGGTAACTAATTAAATTTATATTTACAGAGCTTATAGTTACATAAGAAAAGTGAGTCTATTAAAATGTCAAAATGAAAAAAATAATAGTGGTATATCATCAGCCAAAATAAGGTCAAGGCAGACTGTGAGAAACACCATATATTGCTCATATATCATATATATGCAAGTTCAGACTGAAGCTGATGAAAATGAAAACAAGCCCACAAGAGCCCAAAAATGACCTTGAATATATCCCACCTGAATTTAGAGACCATCTCAAGAACAGATTTGATGCCTTAGACACTAATGACCAAAGATCAGAAGAGCTGTGGGATGACATCAAAAGCATCATCCATGAAGAAAATAAAAAGACAGGAAAGAAGGAGAAGACCAAATTGGATGTCAGAAGAGACTCTTAAGCTTTCTTTCCAGCTTAGAGATGCTAAAGTTAATGGAAGAAATGAAGAAATAAAAGAGTTGAAGAGAAAATTTCAAAAGGCAGCTCGAGAAGGCAGTCAAGTATTGTAACGAAATGTGCAAAGACCTGGAGCTAGAAAACCAAAATGGAAGAGCACAACTCAACACTTCTCAACTGAAAGTACTGAAGAACAAAATTTGAGTTCAACTTACAGTACTGAATGATTCTATGGGCAAAATATTGCATATAGCAGCAGCAGCCACAACAAAATGGTCTATGCTTAACTATTTCAAGAGGCAGCATAAGATCCAAACTGATACTACTGGAGGAAGAAGGCCAGGCTACACTGAAGGCACTGGGGAAAAACAAGGCTCTAGGTACTGACAGAATACACATAGAAATTTTCAACAAACTGATGTAGTGCTGGAGGTATCATTTGGGAGAGATCCATATTTGTGCCCACTCTAATGAAATGTGATCCAACTGAATCACTGAACAATAGCATTAATATCACATGCAAGTAAAATTTTGCTGAAGATGTTTTAAAAACTATTTACAGCAGTACACTATCAGGGAGCTGTCAGAAATTCAAGATAGAATCAGAAGAGGATGTAGAATGGGGGATGGGTGGATCTTGGCTGAAAGCAAAGAATAACAGAAAGGTATTTACGTGTGCTGTAGTAACTATGCAAAGGTTTGACTCTCTGCAGCTTAACAAATTTTGGACAGCATTGCAAAGAATAGGTATTCCAGAAGACTGAATTGAGTTCATGGGGAACATGTAAATAGACTAGTTGTTTGAATAGAACAAGGGGATACTGAATAGTTTCAAATCAGGAAAGATGTATCCAAAGTTGTATCCTTTCATGGTATGTATTCAATCTGTATGCTGAGCAAATAATCTTAGAAACTGGACCATATATAGAAGAATGTGACACTTGAGGAAGACTCAATAACAACCTGCAATATGCAGATGACAGAATCTTGCTGGTTGGAAGTGAAGAGGACTTAGAATACAGATGAAGATGGATTACACCTCAATGTAAAAAAAA